AACACTCCTCCATTGCTGATGAGAGTGCAAACTTATACAACCACTTTGAAAATCAGTATGGTAGTTTCTCTGGAAAATGGGGATCAGTCTACCTCAAGATCCAGCAATTCCTCTCTTGGGCAGATTCATACAATAAGGACAGATGTTCAACTATGTTCATAGCAGCAGTATTTGTAATAGCCAGAACCTGGAAGCAACCAAGATGCCCCTCAACTGAAGAATGGATAGGGAAAATGGGGTACATTTACACAATGGAGTACTACTCAGAAAAAAAAAAATCTTGAAATTCGAAGGCAAATGGATGGCAGTAGAAGAAACCATCCTGAATCCTGAATGAGGTAACCCAGTCACAAAAAGATAGACATGATATGTACTCACTCATATATGGTTTTTAGACATAGAGCAAAGGATTACCAGTCTACAATCCACACTGCCAGAGGAGCTAGGAAACAAGGAGGACCCCAGGAGAAGATTGCATAGTCCCCCGAAGAAGGGGAGGGGGACAAGAACCCCTGAGCAAAGTGGGTAAGAATCCAGGCAGTGGTGGTGAAGATGTCATTGATGCCCCTCCCCTATAATGAGATTGATGTCTACCTTGGTTACCATTCCTAGTGACTGAATGTGGGTGCCAACTAGGAGAGCAAGACAGTCTATGGGACCTCTAACAGTGGAGCCAGTGTTTATCCCTAGAGCACAAATGGACTTTGGTGGCCTGTCCCCCATGGAGGGATACTATTGCAGCCCAGATACAGCAAGGAGGGCCTAGGCCCTCCCCCAAATGATGTGACAGACTTTGAAGGTCCCCTGTGGAGGACCTCACTATCCCTGGGGAAGAAAGGGGAGTATCTGTGGGGGAGGTGGGAGGGTGGATGGGAGGATGGGAGGGTGAGGGAATGGGGGGATGTATAAGTAAATAGGAGTAGTAATTAAAGAATTTAAATAAAAAATCACAGAGGGAGGAAAAAAGAGTGAGTATATTCCATGTTTGTCTTAAAGGTCTGGGTTAACTGACTCAGAATGATTTTTTTCTAGTTGTATCCATTGGCCTGCAAATTTCATGATGTCATTGGTTTTTACAGTTGAGTGTAAATGTACCACATTTTCTTTATACATTCTTTGGTTGAGGGGCATCTAGGTTATTTTCAGGTTCTAAATATTACAAAGAATGCTGCTGTGAACAAAGTTCAACAAGTGTCCTTATAGCGTGATTGAGCATCCTTTTGGTGTATGCCAAGATTGGTTTTGCTGAGTCTTTAGGTAGATTAATTCCCAATTTTCTGAGAAACTGCCATACTGATTTCCAAAGTGGATGTAAAGTTTGCACTCCCACCAGCAGTGGAAGGAGGTTTCCCCTTACTCCACATCTTCTTCCATAAAAGCTGTCATCAGTGTTTTTGATCTCAGAGTTGTTTTGATTTGCATTTCCCTGATGACTAAGGATGTTGAACAATTCTTTAAGTGTATGTCAGCCATTTGAGATTCTTTCAGTTGAAAATTCCCTGTATCCCATTTTTGCATATTTTATCTTTTTTATTTTAAAAACAACCTTTTCTCATTTTACATAACATACCCAGTTCCCACTCCCTCTCCACCTCTTTCTACCCCCTCCTTCCATCCACCCAACCCCTATCCACTCCTCATAGAGGCTAAGGATTCCCATGGGGAGTCAACAAACTCTGGCCCCTTTGAGTCAGGACCAAGGCCCTCCCCCTTATATCTAGGCTGAGCAAGCTCTCCCTCCAAAGAGAATAGGCTCCAAAAAGCCAGTTCAAGCACTAGGGATAAATCCTGGTCCCACTTTTTAAATTGGTTTATTTGATATTTTGATGTCTAGCTCTTGGGTTCTTTACATATTTTGGATATCAGTCCTTTGTTAGATGTGGGGTTGAAGATATTTTTCCATTCTGAAAGCTACCATTTTTTTTAGTGACTATGTTTTTTTCCTTACAGAAAATTTTCAGTTTAAGGAGGTCTCATTTATTAATTGTATATCTCAATGTCTGTTCTACTACTGTTATATTCAGGAAGTAATCTCCTGTGCCAATGCATTCAAAGCTACTTCCCACTTTCTCTGCTATCAGGCTCAGTGTAACTGGATTTAGGTTGAGGTCTTTGGTCTACTTGGACTTAAGTTTGATGCAGAGCAATAGATATGGATCTATTTGCATTCTTCAACATGCTGACATCCAGTTAGCCAGAACCATTCATTTTGTTGATCATGCTTTCTTTTGCCATTGAATAACTTTGGTGTCTTTGTCAAAAATCAGGTGTTCATAGGTATGTGGATTTATGTCAGGATCTTCAATCAATTCCCTTGGTCTACATGTCTGTTTTTATGATAAAACCAAATTGATTTTATTTATAACACTATAGCAGAACTTGAAGTCAGGGACAGTGATACTTCTGGAGGCTCCTTTATTGTTTTAGATATCCTGGGTTTTGTTTTTTTCAAATGAAATTGAATATTGTTCTTTCAAAGTCTCTAAATAAACGTTCTGGGATTTTGATGGGGAATGCATTTGGTCTGTAGATTGCTTTTGGCAAATTGCCACTTTCATTATGTTAATCTGCTTATCCTTGAGCATGGAGGTCTTTCTATTTCTGATATCTCCTTCAATTTCTTTCTTCAACAACTTAAAGTTCTTGTTATACAGCTCTTTCACTTATTTGGAGAGAGCTACCCCAAGATATTTTATATTATTTGTAGCTATAGTAAGGGTGTTCTTTCTATGATTTCTTCCTCAGCAAGTTTATCATTTGCATACAGAGGGGCCACTGATATTTTTGAGTCTATCTTGTTGTACCCTGCCACATTACTGAAGGTGTTGAGTTCCCTGGTAGAATTTTTGGGGTCACTTATGTATACTATATGTATACAAATGCAGAAGTTTGCCTTCTTCCTTTCCAATTTGTATCACCTTTATCTCCTTTGTTGCCTTATTGCTCTAGCTAGAACCTCACATAGATGTGAAGAGAATGAAAAGCCTTGTCTTATTCCTGATTTTAGTGGAATTACTTTGAGTTTAACTTGATGTTGGTATCAGTTTGCTGTGTATTATTTTATTATGTTTAGATATGTTCCATTTATCCCTGATCTCTCCAAGACCTTTATCATGAAGTGGCTTTGGATTTTATCAAAGACTTTTTAAGCATTAATATGATGATCATGTGGGATTTTTTTCAGTTTGTTTATATGGTGGATTAAATTGACAGATTTTTTTCCTTTTTTATTTGAATTACAAACAAGATTAAATTACATGAAAATCCCAGTTCCCTTCTCCCTCCCTTCCTCCCCTACCACACACCCCCCAAAAATTAACAGATTTTCATATGTTAAACCATCCTTGCATCTCTGGGATCAAGCTTACTAGATTATGGTGGATATATTTTATATGTTCTTGGATTTGGAGTGCCAATACTTTATTGAGTAATTTTGCATCAATGTGCATGAGGGAAATTGGTCTGTAATTCTCTTTCTTTGTTGCATCTTTGTGTAGTTTGGGTATCAAGGTACATGCAGCCTCATAAAAAGGATTGACAATTTTCTTTCTGTTTCTATTGTATGGAATAATTTGAGGAGTATTGGTATTAGCTCTTCTTTGAAATTCTGGTAGAATTCTATGCTGAAACCATCTGGGTCTGGGCTTTTTTTTTTTTTTGGTTGGGACTGCTTCTATTTCCTTAGGAGTTATAAGTCTATTTAAATTATTTATCTAGTATTGGTTTAATTTTGGTATGTAGTACCAATCAAGAAAGGTGTTCATTTCTTTTAAATTTTCCATTTTTTTCTGACTTTCTAGAATGGTTTATTTTTTTTATTTTTTAACTCTTTTCTTTTTTATTTAATTTTTATTTAATTTTTACAAATTATAATTTCACATGTCAATCCCTTCTTCCTTCCCCCCCCCCCAATCCACCACCACCCCCCTCCCC